TAACCATAAGGGTATCCTAAAACGACAAACCCCAATCGACCAACTCCTCAAAGCCGAATACCATTTCGCGGTGACCCGACAAGGCCAATGATTAGAGACATTTTTCCATCTCTGTGATATAAAGCTTGATATGAGACTCGAGCTTTAGATACTCGTCGTATGCGCTGTGGATTTCGTTTTCGATATTCTCCTTCAGATCAACCATCTGCAGCAGCCAAGTTAGTCGAGGCCATTCACACAAAACAAGCACAAATAGCCCTCTGAACGGTTCTCTGGCATGGCACGTCACCTTTTTTTCTGTTTGTTCGATCCGAATCCTCCGCCGTTCCATGTCCCGCTGTTTCTCCACGCGTTCCTCGCGAAGCTGGTTTTGTATCTCCCTCAGTTCTTCCATCCGCGCTTGTGCTAACTCCTGCTTTTCCCGGCTGCTCTTCCGTAGCGCTTCTGTCCTCTCATGCCAACGAGCCAGTTGCCGTTGCAGAAGCTTCTCAGTCTGAGCCACTTCCCTGACAGTATTTCCCCGCTCAGTGAGCGCATCCCTGTTTTTAATAGCTCGAGCATCTTCCTCTTCCTCCTTTTGTAACTCTTGAGCGATATCTTCTAAAACTTTAACACAACTTTGAACGTCATTCGCGACAACATTAAAAGTGTCCATTGATGTCTGCAATGCACGCATCCTTCTTTCCATACTATCAATCTGGGATTTATCCCTCATTAGATTGTCCGACAATTCTGTTAGAGAAGACTGGAGCGACGCTGGGCTCTGTAATACGTATGGCCGTAGTTTCTCACTCTCCTGTCGGGTTTTTAAGATCTTCTCTGTCATTTCTTCGAGATAGGTTTGCTTCCGGGCCTTCTCCAGCTTAACTCGCTCAAGGGACTCGGCAATTCGTTCCTGACTTCGCCTCAATTCCAACAGTCTAACTTTTAACTCGTCATTCCTTTTAATCTTCTCATTCGCGGGTCCTTCCATAGCCTTTTGCTGCCTCCTCATCTCTTCTAGCCGCTGTTGCATTTTCTGGTTCTCTGCATATAATGCCTCAATACGCGCCTTGATTGTTTTCAGATTTACTAAAATGTTTGTCAATCACGGTGGTTTGCGTCTCGCGAAACCGAACAAAGTTAATGAGGTAGGAGAAAATTTTGACAAGCCGGTCGTGTGTAGG